AGAATTCTCTATCTGTTTGGGGAATTCTCTATAATGGCGAATACTTTTTTGAAGCCACGCGATCCCCATCGATCCTTGGACTGTCTTAGTTATGCAGATGCAGGACTTTTTTAAGGGCATTATTTGACGAGCTTGTCCTGAACAGTCGTCAACGAACAGTGGCTGTTTTGCCGTTCTATCATGCGTCTGGCTTTTGGGCATTTCTCTACTGTCTGCTTGACGGATTCCAGACGATCATTATGAAGTCATTCCATCCGATCTCCATGTTGGAAATTGTCCAAAAATACGAGGTTAGAGCATTGTGTTCAATCCTTTTTGAAGTATGATTTATAAGAGGACATTAGGGCGCGTGTAGCGTAGTGGTTCGAGGCGCTGTGCAATACTCATGGCACCGTTCCGTACGCCCTATGATCACCTAGCCTTTCCTCCATCCGGGGTCGGCAAATTGGTCCCAGAGCTATCTCGGAGGACTGTAAAGGCTAGATATGGATTCAGTGATCTCCAACGGTGTTTAATAAGGTTGAATGCATGGCGCGTCCCTCATTGATTTAACAATGGCGGGAGCTTTTTTTTATGAAGACATGAAGTGACGCTTAAATGAATAGTAGCTCATAAATAAGGAACGTAGAAATTTACCCGTAATGGTTTTTTGTTCTTGCAACCAACAATGTTTTTTAGACGGAGATATTATATTTCATTTGTCACATCCAGATTTTTGAGAGGTTTTCAGATAGACACACTGAATGTAGTACCCTCTATTCTGTCCTTCCTTTGTCGAGTAGATGTCGATGGATTTGACGTTTCCTCGCTTTCCACGGTTCTTTGCGGTTCAAGCCCACTTGGCAAGGAACTCATCAGTTCATTTTTAACAAAATTTCCAGGTGTTCAGTACTTGATTCAAGGTAAGTGTGCGGTAAAAGTGTCGTTCATTGAATTTCTACGGGCTTGCTTTTCCCGTGTGTAACAAATTACTTTGCTTCTGATTGATTGTTTTTTCATTTCCAGGTTATGGAATGACGGAAGTTGTTGTACTAAGTCATATTACCCCATTAGGAATCATTGGTGAAAGACGGCTGGGTAGTTGTGGGAAACTGTTGCCAGGATTTGAAGCTATTGTGAGTGTCTACACTGCAAAAACGTTTGTTTTCCTATTTCCGTGTTTTTCTCCAAATTTAGTGTTCAAATTTTCATCTTCAGCTTAGAGATGAGAATGGTCGTTTAATTAATGATCCAAATTGTTCTGGAGAATTATACATCAAGTCGCCAACGGTTATGCGCGGTTACCTCAACTCAGAAAATGATCAAGAACCGTTCGATCAAGATGGATGGTTTAGGACTGGTCAGTTAAAGGTGTCCTTCCAGCTGTCGGAACCTTTACTTGTTTTACGGCACTTATTCAAAACTTAGTGTAGAACACTTTTTACGAGCGGCTATGGGAAAAGAATCACGTGGGTTATAGAGCATAGCTCAGCGTTGTCTTACTTGCAGCTATTTTAAATTTTTGAGTTTTTTTTCCACACTTTAGTTTTGAAAATCAACTTCGTTCCTGCGCTGTTCCCTACTTTGAAGTCCCTGAAATATTAGTACGGTAGAAAAAAGCCGAATTTTAGTAGCTCTGGTAGTTAAAATATTGTACATGTTGCTGTATTATCTCAAATCTTGCCAATCATTAAAAATAACTCCAGCGGAAAAAAATGCCAGCGGGTCACAGTCGATTTAGAGACGCAAATATTCAGGCAGTTTTTGTTTGATCCCCTGTCCTTGCACAATTTTTTGTGGAAGAGTATCTTTTTTATGTATTTGTTACCTTTTTCCTCCCAACGGTTTACTGCTTCATCGTGGCTGGAGGGTGTTCCTGGATGTCGGAATGCGATTTACATCTAGAGGATTCATCCTCTCAGCAGGGCCTGTTATGCTGAAAAGGAGGCCGGCGTTTCCATCGGGGAAACCCAGCTAAGAATAAACCGATACCGCGATCCACCACCATCTTGGTATTAAACAAGCCGCAAGGTGGTAAATCTACCTCTGATCCACATGGGCGTCAACTGCTTGTGGTGGTGACAACCTGGGTCAGACTTTGGCTAGGCTGACCTCGGGACTCCAGGGAAACACAATGGCTTAACCAGCAAAACTCCAAAAAAGTGGAAAGTATGCTGGGACGGGACCCCCACAACCACTAAAGACGGGTTATCGAAGTATTAGTTTTTTGATTGTGTAAGGCTTTTCTGGTCTACTTGTAGCGTATGATCATCATAGAAGCAAGCACACTAACACACTCATCAATTTTGTTGTGAACGGCGTAGCGTGCAAATTCAGCTTCCTCCTTCCTTATATCACCTTGAAAGCGTTTGAGACAATTTTATTCGGTAATACTCATAATGAAGCAAATTTCCTTATTAATTTATGTTTAGTGTTTGTTTGAAGATATTTTTGAATAACACAACCGTTATATCATTGTAAAAATTTAGGAGACATCCTGTACTATGATGATGACGGTTTCTTTTACGTTGTAGATCGAGTGAAGGACCTTATAAAAGTCAACGGAGTACAAGTGGCACCTTCAGAGATAGTGAGTTGTTTTGAAAGTACCATATTAACACCTAGTATTAAATCGATTTTCTACCTCGTATTTTTTATTCTTGGGAATTCTAATAAGTAGGATCGTCAGTCTTTCTGAAGCAAGTCTTCGCCACATCATCCAGTTAGATATAATGTCCGTTTTCTGCATTTTTTTCATTTTGGACTCGATACTTTCCTTCTGAAAACACGAATTCATCTAAGTCGTACCACTATTTAAGGAAGACACAATACTCACCCTTTCGTATGTGAAGGAAGTGGGCGTGATAGGGATTGATGACCCCGAGCATGGTCAGATTCCTAAGGCATTCATTGTGCTACAAGAAGGTGAGGACGAGGAACATGCCAAGAGGAACATCTTGGAACTGATAAAAGGTTGGTGATATATCACGACAGTACTCAGTCACTGTCTTCTAGTGGTTGGCTATTTTTTTTTAGCAAAGTTCTCCCCAGTAAAACAATTACGTGGAGGAATAGAGGTCAGAATAGAACTACCTAAAACAAGCAGCGGAAAGGTGAAACGTTATGCATTACGTCAGCTGTACAAGTGATTCTAGTTTTCTCTTTAATATGATATATGCTAAAAACATGTGTATAGGAAGTATTCTTGGCCAGTTTTAAAGCTTTTCATGTATTTTGCTCTCTTTGGTGCTTATTTGTTTTGGATCACTTTAAGTCAAATCCACTGAATAGACCGAACTTCGATGCTTTATCGATCATTATTGACTATCATAGCACGCAAATATATAATCTGAGTTGGAGTTAAAGCGTATCTCCTTGGAACATCCATACTACTGTGGACAAATTAACGTCTATACTTCTTATCATCTGTGAGAATTCCATTTATTTAAGTTGTAAAAGGGCTTGGCTGCTAGAATGAAAATTGTCTGTATATGAATGATTTGATTTATTACTAGTAGTTCACAGTATCATATTACACAACTGGAAGCCGCAACCGATGTTGAGAACGTACAGGGTAGAAACGGACAGCAAAAGTAGAGTGATGGGGTGAAATCTTATCACCTACCAGAAAAAACTGCAAATACCACCGTAGTTCAATAAAGGTCGGACTTTATATACAAATGAGAGTTCCATCTGTGTAACTATGACACTTAGCGATCTTTGCTGCTAGCTCACGCTATACGTTCTCATCATCTGGACTCGAGTTTACGCAGAGGACGGAACCTGCATGCTGGTTGTTTTGCGCAATATCACATGCATTGCGCCACTTGGTAGTCCTGCTCCGCGCCAGAATTTCCTGTTGCTATCTCTTGTCTTTATCATTCTCTTACATAGCGTCCTATTTACAGTAGTTTGTGGTCCTATTATACAAATTCATGCATGGTTAATTTTTTAGCGTTCGATAAGCACAGGGAGTGGGTAGTGCAGTAGCAGCGATGTTTGTTTAGTACGAGCAAGCCGCTGGCTCGACCCCGCGCCGATCCCACCAAGCTTTTCATCCTCCAAAGACGATGGAACTGGTAGCTGATTTATCTGGAATCAGCTCGCTTCCCGTAATTCACGGAATGTAATGAAGACCTGGCAACGCACTAGTACGGTACCTAAGTATTCCAGGTAGAATTAAGTCGACCAGTATTTAACGACGTTCATAAAGGAGACCAAAAAATTCTTAGGCAGCAGCTGAATCTGCACTTAAGTCCGGAGATTTTCGTGGCATATGGGCGCAACCAAGCGGATCACAAACGGAAAGTGTAGCGATCCACATAATATGCGTGAATGAGTGATATAAACATAAATGTAACAACAATTTCACTTGACCACAACGATGGGAAAATATTTGCAACACCCCGGATCGCAGGTGTCTGAGGTTAGGATCGAACACACCATTCTCACATAATACCTTGCAGTGAAAAATTTGTGTGTGCAGTAAATACAAAGTTAACATTGTAATTTCACTTGACGTTGTTGATGGAGACGCTGGAGATGAAGATTTATGCAAATTAAGGATGTCAAACTGTCAATCTTGGCGTCACAATAAAGCGTCTCTTTATGTATCCTGCTGCTACATCTTTCATTATTCAAAATGAACTGAAATCTCTGCGTTTTTGCCAGTAGTAGGAATTATGAGGATACTAACTGGTAATAGAGGGGAGATATGGGTTATAGTGTGTTTGCATGTTCAGATTGCTAGATCTAGAGCAGGTTACAACTTGTCCTGTCAACATCTTTGGAAGAAAAAAAGGAAAGAAATGAAATGAAAACAAATGAAATCAAATGAAATGAGATGAAATGAAATATAATGAAAAACAACGAAATAAGATATCCAACAGTATCGAACCTATCACTGTTTAGCGATATAAATCGCCTCCATGCATACATTGTTTAGTGTTATGGCTGAGTGATTGAAGGATTCAAGACAACTTTGGGAAATTCACAAGGTCGAGCTGAGGAGAACAGAAGAGTAATGAATGATGTGGCGAACGACGAGAAAGCGTGGAATTTCAAAAGTTGACTTGAGCCCTCAAAGGCACGATTCAGGGCAAATACATCCGAAATGAACTCGAAGAGACTGCACAACATTTCTCGTTTTCGGACGAGTTCTCTGCGAGTTCATGGACGACAAAATCAATCGATAAATCGCATAATTTCGAAACCGATACATTAAGCCCACGTATAAAAGTGAGACAAGACATGGCCAGAAATATTAAAGTCTCATTTAATGGCAATGAATTAATGCTGTAGATAAAGAATCGTCATCTAATACTAGCACATGATTATAAAGTGCTGCAAAGCTCTAAAGGAATCAAAAACAAAACAGAAAGAAGAGTATTAAAGAAAATTGTTACGAAAGCGGTCGATCCTCTCATAGCTTCTCTGATCTCCATTCGACAGATTTCATCTCCCATACCTGCAAGAAAAGCCCGAAATTTTGCAATCAATCTGCAGTACGGTATCATTTATTGCTGAATGACTTTGAATTTCCGCTGTTCAGTTTCCTACGAATTCTCGGTGGATCAATTGTGTTCCAAAAATCCTACGATTTCACGATTTAATCACTTTTTACTCAGCGCCTATCCTTTTTCATGTCAAAGTATGGTGTGAAATAGCCTCCGGAAAGGGTAATAACGAAGCTCGATTCCCGCCGCCGACACCAGTAGTCCCGAGTCTTGCAAATATCTCAGCATCATTGTAGTTGTAGTCTCATGATTTTTTCACTTTTCGTTACTATCTAGAATAGCGTTCATGAGCGTAGATTTATTGATTTCGATTCTTAGGAAATACAGTAGACAGCACAAGGTGAGTAATTTTTAAATGACAGGCGATGTAGTTCTTCGTGAAGATCACTGTTTCCTTCAACTTTTCTTTTTCTTTCCAAAGAAGTATCGTTTCGGCTGTTAACTTCATGGTTGCAAAATCTATCATTCAGTCGTTAATGACCCGGATAGTTTGCTAATGAAGTTGTTGATTTTTGCACAATCTGCAACTCATCAATCAAATCAGTGACATTCTCAGTAGCAGACGACTGATTGTACCTTTATATGAGACTGTGGCAAGCCGAATTGTTCATTGCGCGGATGAGTTTAAACTGGCCGAGGCTATGCAGTAGTCGCGACGTCTCCGACCGAAAGCACTTTTATTCATTTTATCTTATCCGACTCGATATCACATACTATGTGCATCTCAGCAATTCTTGCATTCGTCTATATTCGCAGCGTTATATCGTCCATAGATTTTCGCATTTGTGAGCTTGACTGTTGCTTGAGGATTCTGGTCTTTCAAATGTTGCTAGAGGCTGATGGAGTCGACTCTCCCTAAAATTATAGGACAATAGAGCAGTGTTCTTATAACTTTACCTTAGACACTGACCAGCATTTGTAGAATGTAATGAGCGAGGTGATCCCAAACAAGTCTAGTAACAATTTCCCCACTCAGTAGGGTTGTAGGATTTGGTGCGCCCCATTCGAGGATGAACCAGACCCTTGCACATGCTGAACGGCGTCACTGCCACTGCACTTCTGAAGCCACGTGCAAAGTACACGAGGATATTGTGTATACCGATCACGTTTTATCCAACCAGAAAAGGAAAGCATCCAGTGTCATCTACGATGGCAAGCGGCGATGGAGTCGCTTCTAACATCGCAACAGACGCCCCTGCTTCTCCATCAAAATAGGTTCCACACGATGCACAGGATCCAGGCGTTGTTCGGAAAGACCGATTAAAAACGTGCTGATGCGTTTTCAATTCACCTCAAACCGGTTCTAATTAGCCGTATACCATTTATGGATCACGGGATGATAGTCGTAGATGTCAACACGCACAGAACAGATCACTCTCATGGACAATGGTGATGTTGGGGCCAAATGAACGGAAACTGTGCTGATAACTACCATTCGTGAGAAAATCTCATCCAGAAACCACAAATAATTTTTAGTCTCCGTTCCGTACAGTGTTTATTCGTTCTTTTATGAGATTGAATTGTTCAATGTTTATGGTGATATTGTTTCTTCTAACAAATACATAAACTAGTACTACAGTTTAATGAACAACAGTTCACTAGTACAATCGTAGCTCCTAATAACAACATTGTGTTTAGATAATATTGAATCAGCAAAATTATCGCGGAGCATAAGACATGTTCTAACTCATAAATTGTATATCGGGGTCAAATGAAGACTTCAGTTTCAAGACATCTCTTGACTAACAAAAAACAAATCTGTGGAAAGTTGAGCACCTGATTCGGACGACCACGTCCACACGATGTGACAATCGGCGGCACTGGGTCGTCCTGCCTTCTCACTTCGGAATCTCGTTGTGTCAGACACAGGCCGCTTTTCACATGCTTGAACGTACGCTTCTAAAATATCAGCGAAAAAGCATGAAAGGAGGTTAGAGCAAAGTGAGCACTTTTTCTAAGACTAGATCAAACCTGCGAAGAGGTTCTGCTTATGTCAAATGGCTATTCTTTCAGTAATGAACTCATGTTAGAGAAGTGCGATCCTTGCAAACCTAGCAAAAACTAATAAAGTGGAAAGCCAAAGCTTTCAGAAGCAAGAACCGTTTCATGCATTTTGTTAGGACTGATTTCAGTCAGCACTGAATACCTCGGTATTTTGCATCGATACGTTCCATCTCTGTGCAGGAAGTAGTAGAGATAAGTATTTTTGGCGCTTCTTAAAACATTCGTCTGTGAAAGAAACTGTTTCCTTCTTCGAATGATTTACGGGAGTTATTTTATATAGGTAGATTAATTCGATTATGTTTGTACTCGCGCATAGGGGCTATCAAGGACTGATCAACGCCGAGAACTCCATCCTCTTTTACTTATGCTTGCACCCTGTAGACTGTGTGCAATAGTTTACAAACCTGGCATGATCATGTCTTTGAATACGAAATACTAGTGGTACCCGGGAACTAATTGCTATATTCTTAGATCTCGTTGAAAAATATTGTTGATCAGTGAGTGACCCACTGCTTGGTTTTTTAAAGTCTACTTTTTCTTAGAAACATTAGCCGCTTCGTTGTTAATCATTCTGTTTGCTAGATTTGGGGCTCTACACTTCCATAGAATTTTTAATGAACCAGGATTTGTGTTCTGCTTCACTAGGGTTTTTCCATAGGATTAGACCAGGTAAAACCTGTCGGTTGTAGTCCCACTGTTCGTTGTCGTATCCAAAGCATTCTTTCAGCTGCACCGTCCACTTGCCGCCGTCGTGCACCGTCTGCACAGCAGACAGGCACATATGCTCGTCAGATTTCAGTCGATGATCCGTGGAGTAGATCCAGAACTGAAAATCGAAGCTTTTGTTTGGTTATGATATGGAATTTTGTAAAAGAAGAGCACAAAGCAACCGAAATTTGTGTTTACGCCAGTGAACGGCGCATTTAGGATGGCGCGTGTAGCACAATGGTTAGAGGTGCCCTGCAATAGACACGTGACTTTGGTTCAATCTCGTGTTTGAGCTTTGTCTCTCTGCCGTCGGTAAATTGATGCTAAGCCTCTCTGGAAGGAGAGGAGTACCTATTTAATACGTCAGTAAGCTACCACAAGTCATTGTATAGAACAGATATGCATTCAATCATCTCCAGCGATGGCTGATGATGTCGAATGCATAGCGCATCCCTCAGAGATTGATCAAAGTCGAGAACTTTATCCTTTATCTTTTTTTATCGGAAGCAGAAACATGGTCGTAATGAATTCATGAAAGAGTTGATTTTGGTCCAGTTATTTTAAAAGTTAGCACTCACTTTTGAATGAAATTTTATCTGGCTAGTTTACGTATACGGATAGTAGGGCAGGTAACACTGTGGCATTGGTGGCATTCATCACAAGTGCGGTGCGCTCCGACCCCCACTCAAGGGTCACTTAGCCCCTCATCTCTCCGAGGTCGTGAAAGTGGTACTAAACTTCTCTGGACTTGGCTCACTTTCTTCAATCTGCGTGAGATCGCTCTGGCGCGGCTATCCCAGGACGCCGGGGTGAATCGGCTCACGCAGGCAAAACGTTCGGAAACCTTCGTGGATTATGGATAGGCGATAATGAATCGAATGCAAGCAGTACAGAGATCCGCATAGTAAACATGAAGACGGCCTATGTAGAAATAAAAAATATTTTCATATATTGCTGTGCTTTTCTACGCAAAAGTGATTTTATCGATCAGCACTAAATAGTTTCCTTGCTTTTCTGTTAGCTTTAGTTCCTCAATGGTTTTCGAGTCATCGCTGTTTGACAATGTTCTGCAATGCCCCACTGCAATGTAGAACGGTTTCCTATCGTCGAGAAGGAATTCGATATTTCGTTTGCAATCCCAGCAACAACATAATCATCAGCTGGTACGTGATGACAATATATACGAACTTTAGAAAGACTTTCCAGGAAGAAGAGAGATGGCTCAAATGCTTCGGTTGAAGACAAACCGCCCAAGTGTTCCAAATCTTAAAGTGCTCCAGTTTACCAATCAGAGATTTTAAAAAATAGAATTTGCCTAATTCCGTATAGGCTAAAACTTCCTCCCAAATGTGTTAAAATTATCAGATAAACAATTATAATGATGCTGAGATATTTGCAAAACTCCGGACCGCACATATCTGCGGGGGGAAACGAACGCGCTGTTGCCATCTCCGTTGGCTAGCCCAGAGGTTAGTCTTTTTACGGCAGAGTATTGTCGTAAATATTATGTGGTATTGTATTGACAGAGAGGTTAGCTCCCGAAAAGGATAATATCGCTTTCGAGCCGCATGGCAGACACTTGCGGTCACGAGTTTTGCAAATATCTCAGCATCATTATATAGTTGTATGTCACATAATACTGTGCCAGAAAAATTGTGGTACACAGCAAATAAAAGGTTAACATTGTGCTATCAACTAAACGTTTGGTCAGAATTCCATCAATGGACCTGAAACGCTTCAAGGAATCGAAGAATTTCGTAACGAAGACAGGAGTTTGAAAGTGAGGAGAATGGTGGATGTCCTTCAACGAATGGACATAAGTGATTGAAGGTAATTATTAATGCGAACCAATAGAAAATTACTCTAGAGGTTCCAGAAAAGAAATTATGGACTAGATGCTCATCAATCACTTCTAAACACCTGCACTAAACTGGAAATAAGGAAAAAAAGCGGTAGTGTACGAAACAAGGCCAATCCACCCACTGATCGAATTGTGACTAACGAAAAATGGATTTTATGCAAAGTTCGAGGTTCAGTATAGAGACCCTCGACCAAAATAAAGCAACAATAGTTCAGCGAAACGAAGCTACTCTAAGAGACATTAAGGCTTTTCCATAACAAGCCCTTGATTGTAACCTCGTTCACGAGCGACTGGTCAACTAAACTCAGGGTTTGCTACCATCACAAGAATCGCTGCCGTCGTGGAAGGATCTGGCCCGAAACGCACTAAATTTCACTCCAACACACGATGCCCAGCAACCGTCTGCGGTGACGACCTGAGGATGTTGTAATCGCGCTATCTCGGCTTTCTAGAGAAATTCCCGCTCGATTGAAATTCAACATGTTAATCAGAAAAGATCACAAAGCTTTAAGTTGCAGTCGATTTCTATTACGATCTCGAGAAGCTGAAAGGGTGACAATTATGATACTGAGATGGATGGTAGAGGTGTTAGGGCCATCGCAACAGCGGAGACGGCTCATACGGGTCATCCAAGCATTTGTGCAAAAGCTCTCTTGTTGATGCCTTAAAGATAACTGCAAAAATTGAACAAGCCGTAGCTGAAAGTTCTGTTTCAGGTAGTTATTTCATCTGGCATTTCTACCACTACGGACCGTTTTTCACACATTTGAAGACAAGTGCTTGAAAGAGAGCATTTAAAACAATCGTGACCTTACCGAAGCATGAAAGATTGCACGCAGTTCCTATTCCAATTGATACTACTCTCTTGTTTCTTTTTTCTCCATCTCTTTCCTTGTTTTCTAAGTTGATATATACTTCTGAGAAGTTCTTACCAAAAGCTGCGCACTAACAGCAGATGTTTTTTTCTAAAAATAAACGTTATATAAAATATCACGGAAGCATAAGCTTGCACTGTAAACGTTTCTATTTGTTCTTGTTTATTACATAACCTATCATCATATTTACTGCGTGGATCCCAGCACTTCTTCCCCTGAATTCGTTTTCCTGGTATTCATCGTCCACAATGGTCTTCGAACATTTCGCATGTTGCTTCACCTGCTGCTTGGGGATATCGCCGTCTTTATGAATGTTGTAGAACGCTGGTCAAATTGATTCTCTTTGTAAACTTGGAGGTAGCCGAGTTAAGACGCTCCCACGTGTAATGGAGGAGAACATTGAGGAAAGGTTGAACTACCGGCTTTGCTTCCTGGTCGACGGCATCACTAATCACTGCGCTATCCCCGCCTTTACGCTATAAACAGTTAATCAAACAGTAAAATACGGCACATTTATCAAAATATGAGGAGATATCTACAAAGACTGCGTTTTTCTTCGGATATATAGCACTCTGTACGCTGGGATTCGTTTGTTTCGTAGTGAAACTTTCAACCGACCTGCCAGTGATCGAACCCTAACGTACAGGGCGCCATACTTAGCTGTTGTTTCTTAGAACCCGGGTCGCCGGGTCGGTTAACGATGCAGAACTTCTTGAATTCCGCGGAAATCTGGAACAATTGTAATTATAAACAAAAACATTGGCGAATCACCTGTGTCCTTAGAATTTTGTTCGAACAAGGACTCTGTGTGATTTTCTTGATAGCCGATGTGGATAGAACCCAAGCTAGACATGTCGTATTAGTAATACCAGCTGAGAAATATATCTGAAGACTCACTTTTGGGCAGAGACGAATGGTAAGAAAAGATTGGAGCAATTGAAGAAAAGAGATAACAAAGCTCTGGAAGATATGGAGAAACAAACCCGTCCAAAGAAATCCTCCTCCATAGGCATATGATGATCCGTGAACACGTTCTCAAGGTACCATTTAAAATTTTTGCACTGTAGCCGACGGCGAAGTTCCATCCGTTCGCTTAAATCCACGATACTGCGAAGTTTGGCGGTCTCTGAGAAATGGTGAAAAAATTTAGCGGAGGATTTTGGATGTCCTGTTTTTCACTTTAAGGACTGACGTGGAGCTAACTTGTAGAACAAAAATTTCCATTCGTCCATCCAAACTTCCGAAACGCGAATCATATTGCCATCAAGGATCTGTCGAGATGTAAAGTATCAACTTCATAATAGCAGTTTTAGAAAAAAAAGCAAGGGATGAAGATCGACTAGGCAAAGAAAATCGCCATCCACTCTCATGTATTTGTGGTATTGCTCGACTAATAGGCTTCAAGGTCACGAAAGTGACGATCCAACCCTGCTTACCTTTCCCGAAGAATTGCCAGGAATATCATGAGGAGAAATATGTCGGAAGACGTGGCCGACGTGTGAACACGGAAGGATCTCCACGCGTCCTCCACACTGCCAAATCTGAAATGTGATGTTGGATGAAGCCAGTTGATGTATGGAATGTATTCTATATTCGTCAGTCTGAATCTTCAGTGAATCTGAGAGCCTGCTAGAACCTGTTGAAACAAAAAAAATCATCAGCGCTTCAGAAAAGCTGGGACGCTTAAAAATGCTATATTTCATGTAAATTTTTTGAATGGACTGTTTCTTTCTGCTTTCACAATACTGAATTCACATTAGCCAGAAAAATGTTTTCATCGTTTATAGCATCTCAAAAAAAATTGTTAAAAGTGGTAAAAGCAATTTTCCGAAAGACGAAAGGTGAAAAGAAAACGATTCATAGGCATGAGAAGCATGGCATTTGATCGTGAACGGACAAATGGCGCCATGTTGGAAAAATATGCACGTTTAAAGAGCTTTTATTTAACCACGAGGATGCTGAGATGCAAGCAAGACCTGGAGCCTCAGGTGCGCTTCGGTCCGTGATTACCCTTTCCGGAGTCTCAAGTGCTATCCACCACACCAAGCGAGGGCCTAGCTTTCCATTTCTCTTAGCAACTTTTTGACTCTAATGGTTGTTTTTATTTATTTTAAAAAAGTCTGCTATGGCTCTGAAACATGCCTTGCTGAAATCATTTGTTACCCAACGCAGTGATTTGAATTCATAAGGTTCCACACTGATGTCCGATTTTATTGTTTATCGTAAAACCGATACACCTCAGCTCACAATGAACTTTATTAAGTTGCTGATTTTTGCGGTAGCTGGACTTGTTTTTAAATATTGAGGACTTTCATTTTCGATTTTCTTCCACAAAATTTAACTTTCGAACAAATTTAAGACTGAAAGTTTGTTTTATAGAACTATTGCGCTGCAATGGGCACGTGTACCGTAGTGGTCGCCCTGCAACACACACGTGGAATCGATCACCGTGCCCATGGCTCACCAAGCCTTCCTTCCCTTTGAGGTGGGCAAATTGTTGCCAGACTTGTCTGGGACGACAGCAGCACTGCTTCGATACATCGGCAGGCCACCGCGAGTCATTGTAAAGGCAAAATGTGCATTCAATCACCTCCAAACGATGCTTAATGAAGTCGAATGCATGGTGCATCCTTCAGGGATCGATCAATACCGAGAGCTTTATCCTTAATTATCCTTTTATGTGCACTACTAAGATTTACAGCGAAGTAGTTTCTTCAATAACGCTAAATTATTAATTGCTCAACTGCTCTAACGATCAAGAAATTATGTATTATTTCTTGATAAGCTTGCACGAGGTTGATAAATATATTTATTTTCGGCTAACGTTTCGACGTCTTCGTCTTCCTCAGAGCCGGTGATCCGAGTCGATGGTCCATGCTTGTTGTTCGCCTCGACGTTGCGACTTCGCCTTCGTGTCGAGCCAGATCTTCCTCAGTGAGCCATCTTCTCGAATGAGGCATCCTCACTCAGTGATGCCCTTTTATACACGATGCTGATGGTGGATATATAATGACAATGTCCGGTGGTAACAACTTGTATTTCTTCTGGACATACATCATTGCGCACATCGTGCAGAGGTCGGTGTATTATCAGCTAGCACAAAGCATAGTAATATTTCGAAACCGACCTTCCCTAAACCTCGGTGTGACTAATCAATATGTATTATTTCTTGATAAGCTTGCACGAGGTTGATAAATATATTTATTTTCGGCTAACGTTTCGGCGTCTTCGTCTTCACTTGATCAGTGCCGAGGTTAATAGAAAGTCGGTCGTGGCAGTTACATATTGATTAGTGAAACCGAGGTTAAAGGAAAGTCAGTTTCGAAATATTGCAATGATGTATGCCCGGAAGAAAAACAAGTTGTTATCACCGGACATTATCATTATATCGACCATCAGCATCGTGTATAAAAGGGCATCACTGGGTGAGGATGCCTCATTCGAGGAGATGGCTCACTGAAGAAGACTTGACTCGACACGAAGGCGAAGTCGCAACGTCGGGGCGAACAACAAGCATGGACCATCGACTCGGATCACCGGCTCTGAGGAAGACGAAGACGTCGAAACGTTAGCCGAAAATAAATATATTTATCAACCTCGTGCAAGCTTATCAAGAAATAATACATATTGATTAGTCACACCGAGGTTTAGTGAAGGTCGGTTTCGAAGATCAAGAAATTATCATTTTTTGATGTTATTGATTGATGGCTGACGTTTCGGCGACTTCGCCTTCCTCAGAGCCTGGACGTATTTAATATTAGAATATTTTTACTATTCGGTGGAAAAGAAAGGTTAAAGTGTTAATGAAGATCAATTTTTCAAATAGACCCCATATTGAACAGAAAGGCCACTCACCGTGATGTTACCTGTGGGACTGGCCCTTTCCAATGGCTACGAAGTAGAAGCCACTCGGGTTAGAGAAAGACCTTGGGTAGTTTCCCAAAATAATATTTCGGACGTAATTAAGATTCCCTTTAAGCTACCCTTCATATCAAATGAAGTAAGTCACGCCATTAAAAACTGCTTAAGAAAAAGTGGTCTTGAAAATTATGTGACGATTATTGACATCCCACCCAATACCCTACACTGCCAGTTAGTTCGAAACCGTCTCTATGATCGTTTGGGCAGCTCAGAAAACCGTATGATCTGTCCTAACGGGAGAGACGGGGATTGCATGAGTTTAGGTATAATATACTTGATCTCATGTAATGCATGCGGCGAGGAATATATCGGGAAAACGGGTAGACCACTTCGTGTCCGCATAAAAGAACATCTAGATGGAAAAGCTAAAATCCGTCTAAACACCCCTCTAGGTACGCATAGGGCACAAAAGTGCAACGGCGATGATTTCGAATGCAACTGTGCGGATCCCAGCGCAGGAATCAAAAACGTCAATGCGCAAAACTCTTGAGGCGTTTTGGATAAATTTCAAAAATCCAAAGATGAACCGGAAAGACGAATGCCTCACTATCACGCGTGACCTGGCGCCCTATTTCAAAATGATATTTTGACCCGGGGTGTGCCTTGCTCGCGACTCCACGTGAACTACGTGTGGGCCAGTCCCGCACGTAACATCACGGTGAGTGGCCTTTCTGTTCAATATGGCGTCTATTTGAAAGTTTGATCTTCATTAATACTTTAACCTTCTTTTCCACCGAATAATAAAAAGTATTCTATCATAAAGTACGTCCAGGCTTTGAGGAAGGTGAAGTCGCCGAAACGTCAGTCATCGATCAATAACATCAAAAACAACGACAACGACAACGAAGACCTGTGCCAGCCTCGCGTCAGTTTAAGAAGATCAGTTTATAGGATCATATAAATAAATATATCAACTATCTATGCCGAGGTTTATAGAAAGTCGGTCTTTCGAAAAATTACCGTCAGTTGTCAAAAAACCGAGTACGGCGGTGAATAGAATGATGTCGAATTGTTGTACTATTTTCGAGCAAGGTGGATCCACATGTGGGTCATGTTGTCATCAATAGGTTGAGAAATGTAACGAATACATAAAAACTATAGGTTGAATTGTAAAAAAGCGACGCACTCTGAATGAAATTTCGAGATTTTCACCACCCCAGATGTCCATTTCATGGTCGTACGTTCCCAGCTCCTCGAAGTAACGACGGTCTATACTAAACAGGCCACCAGCCATCGTCGGTGAGCTGGAAAATGACAAAAAAAATTTATGAAACGCGGTGAGGCGGATCTCGTCTTAGAATGATTCATGTTGTGGTAAAGCGAAACCTACGGTATGGGAGAGCTCGGGTCACCAAGGCGATGTTTCACCATGTCATTCGGCAGCGAGTACCATCTGTAATTTTTTATTGAACAAAAGAGGATGTTTGGTAACAAAAATTCTTACACGGAAACACTTTTGGGATTCTTTTCTCTCTTTTTTATGATCTCAACAGGAAAACTTTAAAATCCAGTCGTGATGACGTTTGTAGATTTTTGCTGAATGATCAAAATCAACTACACTTCCACCTATTCTTTTCAACCTGCACAACTACTGAGGAAATGATCTACATTGCATAAAAAATGATCATTTGAATAATGAGCGAGTACGATGGAAGAGTTTAATACCTAAACTGCAGATTCCAATTGAAACCACCGCGAAACATATCGAGACCTTTCTGGTATTGAAAAGTTCGATCATTGATGACATCGATAACCGGACAAACCACAAACTTCCTGAAAACTTCCATCGACTATTTTCACCGATTGTCGTAAGGAAACAGAAAGCCTTCATGATCGTTATTCAAGTGAGAACAGGTGCCTCAGCTGCTCTGAGTTTAAAGAAAAAACTGAAAGGGCTTTCTCCTACTTTTCTTTTCTCTTTCCTCTTCTTTCAAGAGGTGGTTCTTCTAACTTGCTTATTTTTTATATATTTAGATTTGTGGGCGTTTCTACGACATCTGAATCCTTCTGCGTTGTATATCTATCTATTAAAACAGTACTAGGAAGGAACTACTAAAGTTTTAAAATCCTTAATGGTAATTAAACATTTTTCCTCTTTCCTTATCGGTGCCTGATAATTTAGTTAGATAACCGTGAACTATTTAGTGTTTATATACAAAAGAGTTCATTCGCATCCAGGTTATTTCACTCAAAAAGAAGAATGGCGTGTTCTAAAGAACGGCATTCCCTGTTTTCTAAACATGTGACGACAGAAAGTCTGAAAAGAATAGCGGGCAAACTAACCTGTTATCCTTTATTCGATCTAACAACGGTTCCAACCAGCCTTCCGTGCACTCACAATGCGAATCGAGGAATGTGAGTACGTCTCCTGTGGCTTCCTGAAGTTTCTAGATCTTTCTGAACACCTAATCCTTCCTAATGTTCGGTGTTCTTCGAAGGCTGCTTTCTACATCTATCGAGTCATACCTGTGCCCCCATGAGTCTCGCTCTAATCAGTCCAACTCTTTGTTTTGTACGTAGAACTTTCACGGTCACTGGTAAAATACGTAGAGCTTCATCTAACGTTGGATATTTGAGGAAAGCTGAAATACATTTAATCCTAATGATTTAGTTTACTTATTTTCGTCCTTCCACTATTTTTCCAGAATGATTCCTTCTTAGAAGGGTAATCAATATCAACCTTGAAAGGAAGAATTTCTACACTATGAAGCTGAAAAATTTGCAAAACTTGGACCCTGACAAGATCAAACCATGGCTTACCGGGCGCTCACGTGTTAGGCACAGCCTTTGCTTTACCTTTCTCGGCCAGTTTTCCACCTAACACTGCCATCAGCAATCACCCGTCAACGGGATTGATCTGTGGGCACAAACCAGTATTAAACCCATTTAAGCAGAGGCTGGAGTCGAAATCACAATGTTAACATTCTATTTCCTGCCTATTATAATTTTTTACTGCAGGTTATAATGTGAAATGCAACTGTTGACGAGTGATTGCTGATAGCAGCGTTAGGTAGAAAACTGGCTGAAAGGAAGGCAAAGCAAGAGTCTCCTGTGCGTAAGAGAAAACGCACGGTAAGGGTAGTCGCCGTTAGGTCTGGCCTGGGATCCAAGTTTTGCAAATATCTCAACATCATAGTGGTTACATTTCACAACATACCCTGCCCTGGAAAATAATAATAGGCAGTGAACAAAAACTTAATCACTATACTGTGAAAATTTCCATTAAGCTGACGAATTGCTTCTTTTCAAGACCGTTTTTTAGGGAAAAAGGGATATACTGTCAATGTAGGAAAGATCACACAAAATCCCCCTCTCAACGGCACCTCCCACTGACTGTTTGATAACCTGTCAATAATATCAAAGTAACTTATATTCTCTAAGAAGAGACCACTTACTACGATTTGAGTGGTCATCGACAAGAATGATATCTGCTAGGAGGCTTCGTGGCGATCGGTTAACAACACTGTGAACGGTACGTAGAAGAGTTGAGAAGGCTTCGTTATGATAGACGATGATTACAGAAGTCGATGGTAGTTCAGAAATTGCTGAATCAACGATTTTCATCCTCCGATTAGATTTCATTGAATTTCTCAAAAATTGGAGAAATACACTCATAATTCTTATTTTTTGTTGCAAAATTCGATTAGAGAACATGTGATATTCATCATGACATACTCCTTTGATTTTACTCCCAACGGTTTACCGCCTCATCTTGGCTGGCAGGTGTTCCTGGGTGTCGCACTGCGATGTACAGCGGGAGATATATCCCCTGCCAGGGTCTCCCAAGCTGAGGAGTGCGGAGTTTCCATCAGCAAGCCTAGCTAAGAGTAAACCAGTTCCAGGATCCACAACCGTCCTGGTATCAAAGTCGCATGGTGGCAAATCTCCCTTTGATCCACAAGGGCTGAGATTGCCTGTCGTGGTGGTGACCTGGGGCAGACTTTGGCCAGGCTTACCTCGGGATTCCAGAGAACCACAATGGCTTAACCAACAAGTCTCCGAAAAATGGTGATTTTTTATGCTGTTATACTATACTGGGGCCCTCACAACTAGTGATGACGCGCCGTTCAAGGATCAAGTATTAAGCATTCTCCTTCGATTTACTCGTCGACTGGTGTAAAGGGAGCTAAACGAAGAGCACCCACCACTAAGATGTTGGTCTTTATTAAACGGTTTTCCATCGTTAGTTTGCATTGCCATCATGATTGAGGGTTTTCATGAGTGCTGAGCAACGATCTACAATGGGAAAGAAAAGACCTCTTTCCCCACAGTGCTACTCAACTACAAAAGTTAAGTGTTTCTTCTAGATACCAAATTAACAGTAATTTTCGAGCGATTACTGCTCGTGAAACTAACCGTAAAGAGTACAATCGCATGGATAATGCGCCCCTCTCGCACTAAAATATCACACTGAGATAATGTGTGAGATAAGAAGTGGCAAGCAGGCACTCCTCTTTGCGGCTCATTCATGCATTGGTGCAGTTTATCCAGAAAACCTCTTAAGTGTTCCGCATTGGAGTCTTTGGTTCATATGCGGGGATGGTTACTTATACCTCAAAAGTTTTGTTATGTCTCCGTGTCCCATGCGTGCATAGTGAGCGTTTCTTAAACTTTAACCTTATCATTTAGGTGTGTTTTTACACAGACACAGAGCGATCTACTCATCTCGCCAATATGTTCGTTGTCGAACGCTCTAAATACACTGCATCCGAACTTATGCTTTCACCACCTCTACCGCTAGGGCATATTATGCAATTTTGTGTTGTGCATAGACGGTCATATAGGCGGTTACGAAATAGGTGGTGTCTTAGAGTGCTCAGTGATATGTCAAACTTTGCCACGGAATTCTCTAGACCGGCCCTCATTAAGCAACGTTTTATAGCTGCACTTATTTCGCTGAAAATGAAAAGTAGGACGAACGGGACCTTAATTTCGCCGGGATTGCCGCTTGAGAGCGTGGTTTTTCCTCTATGCCTATGCCGAGGATCTACAGTTTAGGAGTCATTGGAAACGGATATTTTCATTTCGGCGCCACTTTTAGTGCCTCCTTTTGCTCTCATAATATGCACACGGTGGTGGCTATGGCTGTTGGAAACACGTTTCGTACGAGCGCCTTTTTCCTGTATGAGGGATAAAAGAAAAGAGAATGAACCAGTGTTACTTGAATTTTAGTAGCAATTAGCGATTAAACGAGATTGATTTGAGCGTTCAAAAATGGAGGCCAGTTTCCTTTCGGTTTTTCTTGGGTGGACTTAGTGTACTCTGACTGTTCATTCGATAACTGAAAACATTTGTCTATTTCTTCTTGTGTTGAGCAAATGATAAAACAATCATCTATATATCGACAGTAGCGCAATGGCCGGAGATCAGTTGCTGGTGTTTCCACCTTACGCATAAATGCAATCGCAAACCTTGATGCCATCCGTTGTGCCATTGCCAATCCTCGCATTTATGCGTAATACTTTCCGGATTATCCGAAGATTGAGCAATTTAGGCAGCTCTTTAAGAGAGCTGTCAGCTGCTGCATCGTGAAGCCATACATGTTTATTGCTCTTTCGTGTTGTATAAGGAGTTCGAGGATGGTTTGCGTAGCGGAATCATTCGACACGTTAGTACAAAGGACCATAACGTTGAAGGACTCCATCACGTAAGCGCTGTTAGAACGCGCCTTACGTAAACGACCCAGAAACACCTGTGTGTTCTTAAAATGGGTTGAAATGTGTTTTAACAACTGCGTAGGTATTAGGATTAAAAAGGATTAAACCATGTTATTCCATCCAATAGTCTGTTTACACAATTAATGATAGGGCAAACCTTGAATAGTGATGGACCGGTAGAGGCGAGATTGGCAGTGAATGCTAATCTACGAATTTTGGTAAGTATAAGACAGGAGATGTTAGAAATTCATTTTGAGTTAAAAGATAAGTAATGTTTTCAAGCAGCCGCTCTTGCCACTTTGACTCATTCCATGTTCAGTTTTCGGTACTCACCTCTGGATTCCTTTCAGATGATGGGCGAGAAAGGGTAGGCATCTTCAAGATGCTTTTCAATGACTCAGCATCTGAGTGACGAGGAAATACTATGAATCTTTATCGCCAACAGAAAATCTGGTGTTTTTTAACCTTATTAGCTCTCGAACCTCTCGCATGTCACATTATCGTGTTCGTACGGGGTTTGAGCACCAGGATTAAGGATTCGAAAAGTTTCACCCGCAAATATCCGAAATTTGCTAGCAATTGCATCGTTGGGGTTTTGTACCATAATGAATGTTTAGTGAGACAGCAGTAGTAGTACTGCTCTTATTCCCTGTTTTCGTTGCTATTTAGTGCCTCAACTCTAGCTTTGTTACAGAGTCTATCTTGAAGTTCATGCAAAAAGCGTACGATCCAACGCAAGGTTGCCTTGGAAACTTCGCATTTGACCTTATGGAGTTTAAAATCAGCACTGGGCAATGCAAAGTGGTAGCCCTTTGTTGAACACTTCTTTAAGTACGCGAACATCTGGTTTTGTTCAGTTCGTAGACCGGCGTGTAGTATTCGCAATTCGAAGTTTAGTCCTAGGTGGACGTCTTCTGGTGGACCGCACGCGTGGTGTAGCCGTTTTCGTTTGATGAATTTTGAAAAGAGTTGATGTTTTAGGCAGCGAGTGTATTGCTTGTCGAAATGGAATTTGTGTTGGGTCGCAGAAGATTTTTCATGATAAGTGAATGCGAACTATTCAACTGTCCACATGAGTATTTATGTAGTAGTTCAAAACCAAGTAACTTGTTAATATAGCCTTTACAGCTGAGTTAGTAAATCTTAAATTTGATTCCTCGCAATTTTTTACGGCGAGGCACTAGACCGTAGGTCTCTTATTTTACTGACCTCTATACTTTTTTGAGCGACAGGACGGCTTTCTGTAGTCGCCTAGAGACCTATTCAAAGCAATACGATCGCTCACATACAAGCTGAACTGAAATGAAATCGTTCATTGCATATTTTTTCAGCAGAATTGCAGAAAATGAATCCAAATGGTTTCTACAGTACTTATGATTTCATCATTTTAGAGAATAAATCAGTGATGGAAGACGGTATACAACATAATCGTGGCTGGTGTACGATTCTAAGTGTGGAACAGCGATTTGGAGCGGAAGTTCGTACCCTATTACCCAAATTGGTACCAAACTTGTATGGGAGGATAGTAGCATTGACTCAACGCATCTGCTGGTCACCGAGAGTCATTGTGTAGGCCAGGTATGCGTTTGGTCACGTCTAACGATGCTTAATGAAGTCGAATGCTTGGCACATCCCCCGGGGATTGGTCATCAGCGCCGAAGGGTTTATGTTTTTGCCTTCACGCCAAAAACAATAAAAGATACGCTGAATCTTAATGTGATATGCTTCATCTTACATCTTAGAATCTAGTGTATAACGAGAAGAAAATGAGTTTAACGATGGCAACTCGAATAACTTAGTGATTAACGGGTCACAAGTGGCGCGAATGACATGTGAGCCGCATTTGTACTTATCGGCTCGTTTATTTATGCTTATTACTAAGCAGAACATAGGGGTGTTGTTCTTTATGATCTCACCTGATTGATACTAAATGTCTGATCAGAAAGACGCTCTTCTTCTTTTGATAGTCTCACTGCCGCTCCACCTTCACCCCAACCGATCGGATTGAAGTTGTTCGCATTGATCTCTTCTGAACTGCTTTCTTATTGGATTTCTAGCATAGGTAATCTATTGACGTCTTTGAGTTGGAAATTCATAATTATTAAGATACCATGAGCGAAAAGGGCACAAAAGGAGAAATTTGTCCCTAGAACTTAGCAAATGTTATAGAGGCACATAAAGTACTTTCGACTAGGAATCGTAGGCAAAGGATGGCGCCATTTCGTACCTAGGTTCAAATGTTGCCCTTAAGTGGGTCGTCCACATTATGAAGGAGCTCAAGGTCGTAGAGCAACTTGTAGTCCAGTTGGGAGGTGTGGGCCAGTTCATGTAATTAGGTTTCCTAACTGGTGAAATTTAATTGCAAAGTGACAAAAACCAAGAACAACATAAGCACATTGAATTCTTTAACGGTTGAGATGAAGGGACTTTATTTTGTCCTTTTTATTTCGTGTAATATTTTCGTCGGTAAGAAGCACAAAATTCTCACCATCCGTCAGATTACGTAGCTTCTCTTGCGGTAGATTGCCATTATAGTGACCAACGACCACCTGCACTCCTCTACCGCTCCACGAATCCGCCATAGGTTCAGAGGGTGCAGTCATCTGTCACAATCGCACCATAGAAAGTAATCATACGAAGATTTTAACATATAGCACTTGTTTCATGTAATCAATTAAACTTAATCAACTACAATTAAACTAAATGAAAGTTCCTTCTCTTGCATATCTCAGTGTTCCTGGTGCAACATTAGCCAAGGCAGAATAGGAGTCGTCTTGGTAAATCACTACTAGGGATCCGCTGTTGCACAAATAAGTGCTCCAAATTTCGTAGATGTTCTACCAATATAAGAACTCTGACTAGAAGAAAGCACGACCGGTTGTACTGAGGATGTCTAGGCATCCATCGTAAATCCGCCCATGGAGTTTCATTGAATCGTCTTCCGTTGACACAACGGCAAAAAAATGGTGGCAATGCATGGAGAAAGACATTGTGGACCAAGTGCATTACTCTCGATGCATTTCCTTTTTAATGATTTGTTTTGAGGGGCACATCCTTTTGTTGCGCTTTATGCGTTGGATGCTCATTTGCTATCTAATATAGAAAGCACGTAGTTAATAATATTACTTTACTGCAGGGTTCAGTCACATTAAAAACTTTCTTCCATTCGCAACAATACAAAACGAAGCCAGATCTTTTTCTCAAAAGCATTCATTCATATAGGAAGTTACGAATACGATCAAACGATGAGTGGAGAGTTTCAGTGTCAAACGCTTGCCATTCTTTTCATGAACTTCGTGATAATTCCCACTTTAGACTTCGTTTCTAGCTCGCGCGGTAGAATTCTGTGATAAGCAAGCAGTCAACCACAGGTCTAGTGCATTAGCTGTCTGTACAATCATACCCATGTAGAAAACTTTGAAACAACCCACATAAAAGCCAACCAGATACAAAAGGTTATGGTGTCAAATCTAACTTTTCGTGATCAAAGCTATAACCCTTTTAGAAAGAATCTATTGTTAGCAATTTTTTTAGGGTAAAATAGCCTAACCGTTTCGTCTGCCGATAAACACAAGATTTTGAAGAAATCACATTTACATTTAGCAAAATGACCAAAATCGAGCACAGTAGTGCTTTAACGCAAAGAATTTCATTCTTCATTCAACTTCCATCACTTTCTTCTTTCAAATATCACAAAATCTCCTTAAGAATGAACTAAGAGCATCACTCGTCTCTGATTTTCTCTTAGACCTTGTTCTATTTAGTCGGTGAGTTTTTTTCGTTTTGGCTAACAGTACAAGACATGTATCAAATAAAGCAGTGAACTTCTGAAGACTAGTTAACAAAGGCGTAAAGCATAACATTGGGTTTAGTTTTTTTATAAACAAAAAAAAAACAACTTTCAATCGCTGTAAGAAAAACAGACGTTACCGTATCCTGTAAGAAGAGTATGATGATGGTAAGTGTGCACCATGTGATCAGAAATCCGAGCATTACTAGTAGATATAGTAACAATTTCCGCACTTTTCGTTTATTTTTATACAATGATAGCATTGTAATAAGAATAAAGGATGGAATACTGAATATCTACAACGCCCAGCGAAGGTGCCGGGACGTGAACGTCTACAAAGACATCTGAAACGAATCTGAATCACACTAGAATGCACAAGCCATAATCCGAAGAGATTTGCTATGTGACATGGTTGGCCAAGCTACAAGTGCCGAACGGCTAAGTCATAATCCCAGTGAAAATAAACTTGTAAGGTATTTTTGACTGCAGCGCTTTTCGATGTTGCATCAACGGAGAAGTATTGGAGCAGAGAAGATAGATCGCATTTATCGCACTCCATCTGCTTCTTCCAATAGACAAAGGTTACGACGATGAAAATCTTGCTTTATCTACTTCATTCGAAAAAGTTTGAGTGGTGCAAGACAGTATTGGAAAGCTTTAATAAACGACAATCAACGCTTCGCTTGATTCGAGATGATCAATGAATCCAGTGAAGAGGAAAATAATTTCTAGGGATACTAGAGAACGATAATGAAAGTCAAGAAAACGTACAATGCAAGGGAGATGAAAAATAAGAGTACAGATGTAATGAACTTGCAGACATCCGATGCCTATACGGTCAGCAGACGTTGAATTGCAAAGAACGTTAATGAATATTCGTCCACGCTTTTGCTCCTTAGTGTATGACTTTCAGATACTGGATACTTTCCGCATGAACCTGCTCGATTCGAAAGCTAGGATTTTCTTCTGTGCTCTTAGCAAGATCTTTTCTACTAATCTCGAAAATCTCTGTGTACGGAGAAGTCGAGCTCTACAAAAATCATCTACTTTTGTCATGGTTGATTTTGTCAAAAAATTCCATAGATTCGTTTTCATACACAGTTTCATGGCTTCCATGGGTTCACTGTATTCGCAATAAAAGGCAAGCGCTAACATCGTATTGACAACAGAAAACCTGTGTTGGGTCACTAAAAAGAAATGATTGAAATCCGTTTGTGAGGCATATTTAGCTTTCCTTCCACTTTTCCTTTTAGTGAAGTCTAATCTTATCTCTCAATTCCATAAAAAAAATAAGACGATCGTGCACCACCTCAAAAATTTGGTCAAATATGAAAGACTGAAAAACATTATTTGAGTTTTGCGTACATTTACATCGATAGAAACACGATTAGCAAGTTTTCGAAGACAGCATTTCTGTAAGTTTAATTGGGTTGATTCTTTTTTTATTTTCACCGTAAGGACGACCACCTAAAACTATCGACCGGGCGCCGAGAGGTTAGCGGAATAAACCTTTTTATCAACCTCGTGTTAAATTAATAAACCAAGAAGGCACTAAATTAAAGTAGTACTGCTATCTTCGCGTTTTCTGTGAAGGCCAATCATTCTAGTACTCAAGCGAGTTCTCACTCACATGCTCTCGTTGACAATTGAGTCCTGGACTGAGCGAAATGCATTTAGTTCGGCTTCCACCCAAATTTACCCTTTTCTCAATGGCGCGTATGGCGCAGTGGTCGGAGGCGCCCTGCAACACACACTGTCGTTGCCGGCGCCCATGGCCCACCAAGCCTTCCATCCCTCCGGGGTCGGCGAATTGGTACCAGACTTGTCTGGGAGGAGAGCAGCACTGGCTGGTCACATAGGCCACCGCGAGTCATTGTAAAGGCCAGATATGCTTTCATTCACCTGCAAAGGATGCTTAATGAAGTCGAATGCATGGCGCATCACTCAGGGATTGATTAACGCCGACAGCTTTATCCTTTATCCTTTTACTACCCTTTTAATAGTTCCCTTTATATGAACTGATCGAATTTGATAAAAAATGGTGAATAAAAATTGGACAAACTGATAAACGATCCGGCCAATAATTGTTGGCGTACTGGAAACAACCGCCAGTGAACATTTAGTTCCATCCAATTTGACTCTAGTGGATTTTCGAATCATATAAGTGTTTAAAGGGTGACTAGAATGTATCAACTGAGTGCGGATGGTGAAAACCCAAAGTTGGAAAACTACAGTCATCCACGTTATGCGGTCGCTAATATAATGTTAGTTTTCAGTTTGTTATGGTTTAATTAAGCACCAGAAAAAACCGTAAGCGGCGATTGGTTAGTTTAATAAATAAAAAACAGCTATGGCACCTTGACGACCTGGAGCCAATTGCAATGTTGGTTGTACATGGGCGATAGGTAACCGGATTTAAAAATTTCACAACGGATGACATAATTGGGATTGGGAAAAAAGCAATGGTGTTGTCAAGTGACACAAATAAAATGTGTATGGATTATCCAGCTATTGTTGGAATTCGCGAGGAACCTCGTCGTACACATCAACGACAGCCTGTTGTTCACCTGAGTGTTACTGTCGGTTTTCCACGCTTCGTAGTACCATTCATAAAGGAAAATTGGCGAAGTAATTGAACATGGGTTGGAAACTAACGACAGTGGGATGCACGATATTAAGATGTTCTACTTCGGTTTAAGGCTAGGCTCGTAAAGATCATTACTCCAAATCATTAGCACAACCACTGCCTGCACCGTTAGAGAACTTACTTTTCTCTAGCCTCACTATCCCAGAGTTAACCTTAAGATGTATTATACTGAGTATTTAGGACATATTTGCAAGGAACTGTATGTAACAGAGTCGTGCACTGTGTGTAGAGGACGGTGAAGTGTTTGAAAATGGACAGTCGACAGTGTTGACGATAATTCACAACTACACCCCACGAATCCTCCCTCAAATCGGCAGCGGTAGTTTGTACTGGAATAGAAAGCGTAGAAAAGGCAAGAAAGTTGGGCTATATTGTGAAGGTCAACAGGAGTAAAGGTGACAAATTGCCGAGAAAAAAAGCTGTGGCAGTAATGCATGAGATGCAGACGCTGAAAAAGGGAAGAAGTAAGGAAAAGGCTGAGTTCTTCTTGCAAAGAATTCCGTGGACTAATGATGAAACCGGACATTACTGTACTCAGCTGCCGAATTAGTCCATTTGAGCCTAATAGGGTAGCTTCTAAAAATTTCCTCTTCGTTAGTTCGGCAACGATTATCTTGGTTTACAACGATGGAAATGAAATTTTTCACTTAAATATTGGAAAAAAAATAGAAATATTAAAATACCAACTGTTACCTCAAATTATCTCATTTATTATCTCAAAGGTGTTGAGTAATGCAAAAGTAGCCGAACAGTGATGTCTATGTGTTCAAATGAATTCTTAATAGTTGCTTTTGGTATGACGATCAGCAGCGGTGGTTTCATACCGGGTTTAGTCAACCCATCCACGACTGCAATCTGAGCGCTAACCAGAAGAATTACCAGCAACAAGGGCAGTTCGTAGTTTACGAGGTAATTGAGGCAACCGAACTATGAACGTGATGACAAGGTCGATCGTTGCGTATCTCAGTTCCGGGATCTCTATGTCATCGATTCCTAAGACTTATGGCCCATGCTGACCTCCAAGAAAATCACAGTTGATGAGGAAAACTTCAGCATTGGAGAGAAGTAAATTTCGAGAAGAAATTCGTAGTTCCAACCTACCGTCATGAAGTTTTCTATCGCCTTCGGACGGATTTTGAGAAAGTTTTGCCCAGCACAAAATTATG